ATAGTATGCATTTTGTCTGTGTGAAATATATGCTATATTCTATGTTTACTGAGATAGGACCGGAGGGTCCGAACCGAGTTGTGGGGCCGGAGGGTCTTCACTGAGATACTGGACTGGAGGGTCCAAACCAAGCTGTAAGACCGGAGGGTCCTCACTGAGACACATGACCGGAGGATCCACACCGAGACGCATGAGACCCGAGGGTCCATGTCGAGTTATAGCCATGAGAGGCTTATTATTTGTGTATGTGGTATTTTGGGGAACTCACTAAGCTTCGTGCTTACCATGTTATGTGTATATGTTTCAGGTACCTCTCAGGACCACGGGAAGGCACCGACATGATTGTACACACCTGCCCGAGACTATGTTGAGGATTCTGGGATTTGACTTTTATTGTGGATTTATGATGACATTTGAGACCTTTGTGGTTTTTATGAAAAATTATAATAGTTTATGTGTTTTAAAAATGAAAATTTTGGTTTGAAAATTTCGGTTTTACATAGTGTCCTACAGTATAATGAGGAGACTCACCTCAATCGATAACAGATAAGTCTCATACCTGAGCTACTGGTACGAGAACCTCCTCACACTATTCATATCCAAGAGAACCCTACTTAACAATTAAGGCGATAATCCATAATCAATAGTCCATTACATACTTGCTCTCTACAGTGAAACATCATTTTACCCTTTCAATGCTAGACCCTTCCAAACACGACTTTATGTCCCAAAGTGACCAAACATGCCTTCTGGTGCTATGCTCTGCATACCCCATGCCTCTATGCCCTGCGTAGAGGGCTTAATCGTGAAGACTCAAGGCTACATTAGGCATAGCCTATTTTACGCACCGCGTAGACGCCGATAAATCCTTTTCCATTTTAGCTCTTAATCGGTAAAGACAACCCGTATAAATCTTAGATCTGGTCCTAATGAATGTTTAAAGTGATAAAGTTCCTAACTTTATGCCTTTGCATGGCTTAATGGAGCTCAAGACCAAACCCTGGTTCCATAACATCCTCTAATGACCTCAAACCCTTGCATGGGTGAAAGATAACAACCAAGATCCCATTTTTATGACATATGAACCTCAGAAGCAACAAGAAATGACAACCTTAGGCTATAGAGTAGCACTTACTCACAAAGCCAAACTTATGGGACCAAAAGCATGCAAATCCATAAGATATCCTGGATCTAACCCAAGGAATCATAAAGGTTCAAGCTTTCGATCTTTTGAAGTTGGAAATGAGATGAAAGCTCTGGATCTTAAAGCTTTAGCCACACCTAACCTCTATGATAGAATCCTCCTTCTTCAAAATGCAACAAAAAGCACAAAAGGCCACGCGCTACATAAGGGTACGCCCCACATAGGGCATTAGATGTCTGCGTCCACTCCCCTTTCTACGTCCGGTGTAAAAACCCACCTACACACCACATATGACCATATTTTCAAGAATTTCATACTTTTAGCCATAAATGAAAAGTACCTGAGAAACGGGTGTTACAGCTTACGAGGAGTTTTTGGGCTTTATGGATCCATTTTGGAAGAATTGGGCTTGGTGCATTGAAGACATGGATGAGATTAACTTTTGAAGATGGATCATAGATACTTGAAGATGGGCTTGGACTATCCAATTTGAAGCTTGAAGATGATTGGTTTATTTTGAATCATGTGAAGTGTTGAGGGGACCAGTGGAATCTAAGATAGTGGGGTGGAGTAGTGGAAGTAGGAGCCAATAACATTTGAACATTATTTACGAGGGTAGGGTATCCACCCGCGCAACCGTGAGCGGGTACTTACGCAACTGCCCAGCTAGGGGTATTTTTTGTTATTTGGCTCATTATTTACCTTAGGAATTAGGTCTAGCAGCACACACTTCAAATTTTCCACCACTGGAGCATCTTGGAGGCGATTTTGGAGAGCTAGAGCTATCATCTTCCCATTCTTTTAGTAAGTGCTAATTTCTTGATGTTAAAACACTTTTATGATTATTGTATTGTTGCCATGACTGGCTAACTTCCTTATTTTGGTTGACTTGGGCTATAACCCTTGGATATTTGTGGGCGTTGAAGGATTCATGTTTGATTGTCATTTATATAATGTTATTGATTCTTAGATCATAATTCTTATGCTTGTTTAATACTTTTATCTTGAGTTTCGTACTTGATTGAGCAATTGTTGGTTTATTTCTTTGATTTATCAATAAATCATTGAATTTTCTTAGAACAATGAATTTATGATGGTAGAAATGATCTCTAGCTTATGTATCATGACTCCTTTATGGATGTAAACATTAACATCCTCCTGGAATTAGAAATTCCTTCATTCTTAAGGCTAATCAATTGCTTCAATTGGGTTCTTGATTATGATTAATAAGGTGTGTTGTGGGCTTCTTCAACGTCCATACTACCTTTGAGGAATTTTGGCATATTGTGCTTCATGATTGCTATAACCAATTTGGTGTGAATGATAAGCTTACATATTGAATCCTAATGATAAACAAACAAATGGTCATTTTGTTGAATTGTCTTAGTTGACCAATTCTATATGATATTTGAGCATCTCACCATCTTGCTTAATTGCAAGCATTTTAATTCTTCAAGTCTTTTATTTTTTAAACAATTCATAAAACCCTCTTTTAGTTTAATTGTAGTTAGTTAGTTTTTTTTTCACATGTACAATTGATTGCATGGGTGATTGAATACAACAATTTCCACATGGATCGATCCCCTTTTTACTACTATATTACGTTTTATTTGCAAGAAAAAGAGTGTAATTTTCTTGGTGGATTTGATATCCCACCACTAACATACATCAAGAAACCACAAAAGAACATGATCAAGAAAAGCGATAACTAAATCCAAACATATGAACATGAATATCCTAAAACTAAAAAGAAAATAAATAAGAACAAACAATGTAAAAGAAAGGAACGCGGTCGATCAAGATGACCGACCAACAAATATCAAGATCCATAAGAAAAAATCAAAGAAACCCCTAAGTTTTTGATGATAGAAAACCCTAATTTTCCTAAGAACAAAACACTGTAAAAAAGAATAAAAAAGATATACAAATCAACACCTGAAAAGCTCAAGAAATTCATAAATGATTTAAAAACGACTCAAGAAAGCTTGTGCTCTGATACTATGTAAAACACATAAGAAATCAATATATCAATATATGAAAATGTTTACAAAAGAAGCATCTCACTACATAATCCCTCATTCACTCACAAATGTATTCCTAGATCTACAATATATAACTAAAGAAACTATATACACAATGTTACAGTAAAACCGTAGATATCATAATGTATAAGATGGGAGAATAAGACCAGAGAGAACTCAATGAAACATACACACAAATCTCACTCGCACATACGAGACAATCAGACTCATTCCATAGTTATTTACTATTGGGTCGGGTAAGATACGAGTCATGGTAACCCATGTTTCTCTCGGCTTCAGCAATAAAAGAAACGACCCATAACACATATCTTTGCAAGATTGTGCAACATAACTCCTTCCCCTTAAAAGCTCTTTATTCTACAGCTTCCAAGCACAACATACAAAACACCGCTGCTACAAGAGATATTTCACTTTAAGCCCTTTTATATGCAATCCTACACTCAAACATACCAAGTTAGAAAATATAATGCAAACCAATGTTAATCTTGAAGAATTTTATTTATTTATACATTCTAACATATTTTTGGCGTTATTCAGGTCTTACACAACAACCCCTTAAAAGAAGGGCCAAGAAAGGGGGACAACGGGTAGGAGAAATGGATGTTTGGGCTTTAGAGGGGTTTGGCGTTGCTTATATTTTACAAGAGATGCTTACTCATACATCTGATCATATTAGAGTGCACAAGGAAGTACCTGATACTATAATCTTCGGAGGAAGAATACCGACTCCTGAAGATGCACCAGAATCTTTTCGGTTGTTCGTTCGAGAACTACGACCTTGTGTTCATTCCATGCGGGGGGTAATCATACAGGTAGAAGAGGATTACAACAAGGAAACAATCAAACAAATCTTACTTTCCAACAAATTATGGTTTCCAACAAATTGTAGCATTTGAATATTAATCAACCATACAATGTGTAAAGCAATTACTCAAAATTTAATTACAGGAAGAGATTAATTGCCTTTAGAAGACGCCCTCTCCATCCATGGAAGATGACGAAGCCAGTGACATATAGGAAAATGGCCTTTTGTCCTTTTCTGTTTCCTTGAATTGACCATTTTTTTATTCTGTATTTGGTAGACGCATTGACTTGCAAACTCCTGATGCAATTTTATGGTCGTCAGCAAACCATCAAACATACATATCTAAATTAGACTAAACAACTTGGTTTGGTTTGGATTGGTTGCTAAACATATTCGTTTAAACTTGAGTTGATATATTTTAATCTTGTACTAAAATTATTATCTTATATTAGAAATGACAAAAACAATCCATAGTTTCATTGAGATGAGATTTTTCTAGATATTTTATTTTAGAATCCTTTTATTTACAATACTTTTTCTGCTTAAAAGATTAAACCATAAAACCAAACCCAATCAAAATTTATCAATTTTATCTCTTGTAATCAAACCTGATCATCGCGTTTGATACAACCTTTGAACGAATCAAAATTGTTTGAACGGATAAAAATCCCTACCTTATTTGAATTATTAAGAGATTAAAATGATTCGAACACTAAATTGTTAACTTTTGCTAAGAGCCCTAAATCATTCTCAATGATTCTAGAAAATACAGTAAGAAAGGACTTGGTCTAATTGCGTTTACAAGCTTTTAAGTCCAAAGTCTTTAAGAATTCCTTTTATTTTCTAGCCACTCTTGCAAAATTTGAATGTTGTTTTGGCTTTATGATATTTTTCTAATGTCATTTGTTCAACGAGTAATTGTCAAAGACTCGAATCACTGTTCCTCCCACTCACCTTCCCCCCTTCCGTCTTATAAAATAAACACACGGAGTTTACTCAGCCATTCCACAAGTTGAACTCTCCTTCGTTTCAATTCAACTCCTTATACTTCAATCAATATGGGTGAAGCCAAGGTAAATTTTCTTCTGTTTCTTTTGATTTCAATGACAGAAAATATTCAATAAAAACACCTCAATCGATCATAATTTGGACTTGAATTGAATTTCCAACTCTGTTTTTTTTTTATGATCTTCATGCATGTTCCCTGTTTCATCTCCTCTGTTTTCGAAAAATATCGAAAATCACACACAAAGAGCCAAGAATTTGTCTTTTTTTTTTTCCAAAAATTTTCAATCTAACTTCTATTTCTTGATGGGTTTTACCTACTGTCGATGATTTCACAGAAAAGCGTTTACTTTTTTTCCCAAAACTCATCATCACACTCTATTTTTGTATGCATTCTAGCCTCGTTTATTATCATTCTTGACCTTAACATTCATCTGTTGGAAATTCTGATAATCAATATCATCTTCTGGTATTGAATTTCAGAAAGTAGTTGTGAAGGTGGATGTACACGATGATAAACAGAAAAGGAAGGCTTTGAAGGCAGTTTCAAGTCTTTCAGGTTAATACTCTGTTTGTTTAGTTTTCATTACAGTACAACAAGTTTGACTAAACTAACAAAACTTTTACAGGGATCGAGTCCTTAGCTATGGACATGAAAGACAAGAAATTGACGGTGATCGGTGATGTTGATCCGGTTTGTATCGTCGGAAAACTTAAAAAACATTGGTACACAGAGATAGTGACCGTGGGACCAGCCAAAGAAGAAAAGAAGAAAGTTGGCGATGCTAAGAAAGACGGTGATAAGAAAGATGATGAGAAGAAAGACGATGATAAAGATAAGAAGAAGGAGGAGGAGGAGGCTATTAAAAAATTGGTCGAAGCTTATAGGGCCTACAATCCTTGCATGACACAGCATTACTGTGTCCAGAGTGTAGAAGAGTATCCCAATAGTTGTGTTATTTGCTGAGTTTTCGAAATTGTAAAAGAAACATGGATATACATGTATATCACTATAAGTTATTTTTCATCTCATATCACAAAATCACAAAATGACCATGCCAACCGCGAAATTCACCTAGCGACTTACGAGTAGAAGACAAATAGTCCCCATATATAAAGAGTCCATTGTTGTCCTTATTTTGTCGTTGTGCTCGAAAACAATGCTCGAAGTCTCACTATAACGTCAAGGTGAGGACATCGATGCAAGTAAGTGATCCTTAATCCTTCTTGTTTGAGTACATTTAACAATCAACAAAGGATCAAAAACATACTCGCAAGCAAGTTCATTTTGGAATTTTAGGCTGTGGTAACAATATTAAGGCTTTATAGGTATAAATTGACAATGTTGAAACTAAAAATATAGTAGGGTTAGAATACGAACAACACTATAGTTAATTATCTGTTCTTTGTAGATTAATTCCAATAGAACTATACGTGTGCAAGTGACAACAGAGGTCAACTATATTGCTAATATGAACATATGTGACTTTTTGACTTTTTGTCCTTTCAAAACATTCATTAATTTCTTAATGGTAAACGAATTCTCGGCTTATATCCCTTCGTTATTACATCATTAAATATGAGTCGCCTCTCAATTCAATCTCATATAATTTCAAAAACTAGTTTCTTGATAATATCAATCATAATTATATGGCCACACACTTAGATTCATTCAGGGACCCAAACAATAACTGACGATACTTGTCTACACTCAGAACAGATTTGATGTCACATGCCAAGTTCTGATACCACTTGTTAGGAAGTAAAGCGGATAATTTGCAAAACCAAAAACACACAAGACACAATATTTACATGGTTTGGTCAAGGTGATCTACGTCCACGGGCAGGAGGAAAGTATTGTTTGTTTCAGAGCTCTCAAACAAAGGTTATAAGAACAATTACATAGAGATTCGCCTATCACTCTAGAATTCAAGATACCAAATGACTTGCCATGCATCCCTATTTATACTTGAGAGATCAGACCTAAAACCCTAATGGGCCAACCCCATTAGCCCATAGTCCCACGAATGATGTCAGCCAATCAAAATTTGCCATGCATCATCGTCTGGAACATTCTTCCATGTCACACAACCCATGAGCATCATCCACACACATGATGGAGCACCCTGTACCACAGTGGAGCATCATGATGCACAAGTAGCTCATCCTAAACACTAGTAGCCCAACATCCATCATGGCAGTACAACATGGTGTATTCCTTGAGCATCACCAACTTCTGAGCATCATATAGGACTTCATAACATACATGGCTCATCAGGTATATCATGGTTCATCAAGAAACCAAGATGGGAAAACATGTACAATGTTAGCCCATCTTGTGAAAGGATGGTGCAACATCCTTCATGCTAGGCTCAACATCTCCCAAAGGTGGCGCAATTTCTCTTTGATGGCTCAACTTCTCCATGTCGGTCCAACATCTTCACTTGGCTCAACATATTCATGGCTAAACATCTTAATGGCGCAACATGTTGGATCATGTTGTTCCATGTTTCTCCAAGTTGCCCGAAGTTGCTCCAAGTTGCTCCAACTTGCTCCAAAACCCCTTTTAGATGATCCATTCCTTTGGCACTTAATATGTTCCTTTGTCAGATGATCCAAAGCGATCTCAGATGATCCGTTCCTTTGTCACATGCTCCATGAACCTTAAGTGCTCCATTTAGTTCTAAATGCTCCAAATACTCCATGAGAATGCTCCAAATGCTCAAGTCACATTTAACAATCTCCACCTTGACTTGAGCATCCTCTGAACTCCACCTCAAACAAGAAATTCCTCTCCCTTTCTGCTATCAATCCCCGAAGGGGCTTACCTCCTGCGAACATCAACCAAGTCCAAGTAAAGATTGAACTTCTCTTTGGGCAACGACTTTGTCACCGGAATTTTGAATGCATAACTTGTCATATAACATGATAGGTTTCTCCACCTTCAAAAGAAGACTCTTAATGAGAGCAACCACCAATAAACTATTTTTCTCCATATCACTTTCATGGTCTGAATCTATCAATCCAACCAAGTTCGTATGTCGTGTATTTACACCATACACCAGACAAACATCAAGCGTTTCATTCAAGTGTCACAAGTTCCACTTGACCACTTCCTAATGAGATTTTCCCCGAATTCCTCTAAACGCCAAAGAAGTACCAACATTTTGGACTGATCACAATAGAACATCCGTAAGACTTTCTCAATATAGTGAGAAATGTATAACCATCTTGTTCTTTTATATATCCATATCTCCATCCTTATTATCTTATTTTCAGATCCTAAATCGTTCATCACAAGCTCATTCTCCAAAAATTTCTTCAAGTTGTCTTTCCTGGCATCAACATCAGTAGGCACTTCTTTCCTAGGTTGATCAAGGCATTCCTCACGTCTATGTTGTTCCATGTTACCCTGTTGTTTCGTATTTACCCCTAAACTGTATGGGGTGTCTGTTTCAAACTCCACCTTTTGGCAAGCACCCTGATCGTTCCCCACAAAACTTGTACTACCTCCTCTCTAGTTACACATAGCAGATTCAAAGGTCACATCTTTACTAATAATGAATTTTGGAGTCTTTCCTTCTTCTGTATATCATAGACGATGACCTTTCCCTCCAAATTCATATCCTAGAAATATGCACTTCATTGTCATCAGCTGTAGTTTACCATCATTCACACGAGCGTAAGCAGTGCATCCAAACATTCATAAACCCAAATTCTCAGAGGGTTTTTTCATGACACACCTCTTGAGGAATCTTATAATCAGTTGCAGTTGATGTAGATCTACTCGCTAGATAGCAAGTAGTGTTGACTGCTTCCGCCCAGAAAATCTCAGATAAATCAACATAAAATCACATGCACTGAGCATGCTTCACCAGTGTTTGGTTCATTTGTTCTACCACTCTGCTTTTTTGTGGTGTTAGCCGTACAGTGTGATTCCTCACTGTACCTTATGTTTTCCAAAAGTTGTCAAATGAAGCCTTGCGTAACTCTAACCCATTATGTTATGAGTGACCTGACATGGTTCTTGGGTTGTTTCTCAACCATTATCTTGCACTCCTTGAACCGCCCAAACACTTCATCTTTATCCTTTGTCTTCATAAGATACACGTAGGTATTCCTTGAGTAATCATCGATAAAAGTCACAAAGTATTGACATCCACCATAAGACATCATAGGAGAGGGACCCTATTGATCTCCTTGCTTAAGTGTTCAACCGAACTGAACATCGCCCTGCTTTGTATCTCTTGAACACAAACTTCATCAGGTTTAGCATTGCCAGTTGCATCTCCACCAAACAACCCCTTCTTGCTCACATGTACCAACTTATGATGCCATAACTTGCTTTCATCATCATACTGATCCATGGATTAGGATCGAGTCACCTTTCCCCCCAACCGTATAGCCATCGAAGATATAAATTCCATGAGGATTCATCTTTCCCTTCATAACTACAAGAGCACCCTTGGAGAATATTAACCAATCACCCTTTCCATATTAATTCAATTCATCCTTTACCAAAGTTCCAAGAGAAATCAAATTCTTTCGAAGCTCCGGGACGAACCATCAATCCAGTTTCCTGACTATACCATCGTGAATCTTGATTTGCACTATGCCAGTGCCCTTAATACTGGTCACCCAATCATCACCCATCTTGAGTATGATATTCCACTCTTTGAAGGGGTCGAACCTGTCACGATTGGATGCCATATGACAGGACGCTCCAGAGTCCAAGACCCAAGCATCAGTCAACTAGTTGTACGTATAGTCAAAACTTCACCATCATTCCATCATCAGAATTTCCTTGAACCACAACAACATTGTTGTTTCTTGATTCAACACCATTATTCCTTTTCTTTAGCAATGTACAATCTCTTATAAAGTGCCCCTTTTCCTTGTTATAACATTTGATGTTGGCTTTAGATACGGAACATGACTTCCCTTTTGTTACCACCACCTCTAGCTGATGTTCTTCCTCTGCCTGCGAGCAAACTGGAACTGGAAAGTTCTTCTCCAACTGAAACGTTCCTTTTTAGTTCCTTGTACATCAAAGAATCCTTCACACATTCACAGTGATCGTTTTCCTACCATACAACATGGCATCAACAAAATTCTCATAAGAATTCAGCAGTGAACATAAGAGGATAATTTCTTGATCTTCACCTTCAATCTTTACATTCCCACCTTGTAAGTCCAAGATGATCATATAGAAGTTGTCCAGATGATCCTTCACTTAGGTGTTTTACGACATCCTAAGAGTATACAAATGTTGCTTTTGATACAGTCTATTTATCGTAGAACTATTCAGATACTTGTGACATAATTTCTCGCAAAGCCCAGATGCACTCGTTTAATCAACATACATCGTCTGTGAAACTTAATAGAAGAGCGTTATGCACTCTTGCGAGAATAACCACCTTCTTTTTATCTGTCATGTCCTTTGGTGGTTTTGCATCTCCTTCTAGTGCCACTGCACATCCTTGTTGAACCAGAAGAGCCTTCATCTTCACCTTCCACAAGGTGAAGTCATTTGAACCATTGAAATTCTCCAAATCAAACTAGTAAGTAGACATATTCAATAACAATCAAACTGTATCCTTGCATGTTTCTATATATATATATATATATATATATATATATATATATATATATATATATATATATATATATATCCTTATGTATTAGGATATAGGAGCAGTGGTATGCTAGTTAGAGTACCAGTATGTTGGTTATCATCTAGTGGAATGCCCTAGGGTTGTGTGTAATTGCATATGATAGACTGAGAACTCTTGATCTAGGCTTGCTTGCATGTTCCTCGTTTGGTTGTGGCTCTAGAGTGGGATCACCTATTCGGATGTCTATCTCATATTTGGTTACATATAGTTATGCATTCCTTGAAGATTTTCTGGTAGTAGCATATTGTGCTGGGAGACTCCTAGAACATGGTAGTGAGTTGTTAAACTTGTA